CTTACACTTAAGGATGGGACAGGAAAGGTGGGGGAACAAAAGAAACCTATACTTGAAGATTCAGACCACAGATGAATGAGGCAGCAGTTCCAAAGAGAGGCACTACTTCCAGCTGACTAGTATTTCACCACAGCCTCGTTCTTCAAGTTTTCTAACTTATACATTTGCTTGACAACATCCCACCTTTGTCTAAAGCCAGCAATGACTCACACATGGGCTCAAATATGATACATGGTGATGCAGTTTTCTGGGTGACCAATTCACTCCCAAAAGGCAAAGCATCATATCACAGATTCCCTAAGTGGCTGCTCCATTTCTCAGGTGTGATAACACATGTCTAGGTGAGCCACAGGTCCTAAGGGTGCTTCCCTCCTGTCTCTTGATTTTGCCAAGCATGTTCCAACTTGAGGCCCTCACAGTGGATATTCTGACTAAAAACACATTCCCTGTCTTAGTTACTTTTCTCATTGCTACTTTTCTCCTTGCTGAGACAAAATACTCAATACCCAAAGTTAAAGGAAGAAAGGTTTTAGCTCAGTTTGTAGAACTTTCAGCCCATAATCGGCTGGCTCCAAGGCAGTGTGGCATATGGCAGAGGGGCAACAGTTCATGGTGCCAGAAGGCAGCAAAAGCAACAAGAGAGTGCGAGACAAGCTTCTCTATGTCTCTTGTATTGTTCCCAGTCTACTGGGATTAGGGCGGTGCCAGTCCAATCAGTGGACTGATCCAGGAATCACCCAACCTTAACGCTAGCAGCCTTAATCCCAGCATTGCACTACAAATCAATCACACACTCTAGATTCAGCCACCTCTGAAAAGCCTGCCCCATGACTGCATGATGCTTTGGGGGAACATCTAGACACAAACCATATTACCCCCTAATGGCTTATTCCTTTATACCTTTAAGCTCTCTCTATTTAAGGCCTTCCTTGACTACTCTATATAAAATAACATCGCATCCTATAACGTCTTGCTCTACTGTCTTTGCTGTTTAACTATTCATAGCACTTACTGCCTGACATATTATGTATTTGCTTATCTGTTTATTTTTAGTATCCTCTCACTAAAATCTCTGTAATATCAGAAACTTTCTCCCTTTGCTGTATTCTTTGCACCTTGAATAGTGATGACCAAGACAGGATGTTCAATAAATATTTGTTGAAAAATGAATAAACTTCACAGTTAGAACCTCAAAATCATCAGTCACCACAACGGAAGTTCCACAAACCCACCTGGAATCAACACCAGAAATTAGTGATGGCAAACCTCTTAGAATTTTCAATGATACAAACAGCCTGCTTCCGCACATGTGCCATAGGTTCGTCACCACTGCCATAACTCAAGGGTCTAAAGGCTACACAATTATTTTGTGAAAGAAAAAACTGATGCATGCTTTTTGTTTATTTTTTGGTTAAGCATCAATATATATAACAAGTATAAATAAAGGAACTTTAATGGTATCATAAACTTGTACAGGCCACAACTCATTCAACGTCCACTGTATATGACATTGTAAAATTTCAGATCTCGTAAACTATGCCTACCTTACTAAAATAAATTTATTCATTTATTCATGTGACAAATATATAGTATTTATGAAGAGTATGGTGTTGGGTGAGGTGCTGTATTTTATTTTTGAAAATCCTTATTTTTTCCTTTCTTTATTATAAACCTTATTTACTTAGTTCAGAGATCCCTGAACAAGTATTCGTAAATAATCCTTCAGGTAGAGTCTTTTATTAGGATAATTTAAAGGTAAACATTCTTCTATTTTCATTAAATTTAAGGGAAGTAAGAACCATAGAATTTAGCAACATTAAATACTCATCATTACAAAAACTGCCTAAGTAGTTGTCAAGCCCTAATTACACAAGGCTAATTGGTTCCACTAAAATCCATGCTCTTCAAATACAAGAGTTCCTCAAAGTTGGGTGCTAATCTTTTATCACTCCAATGGTCTCACCGCTAGATTTTCACAATGCAAATAAGTTTTTGTCATTCCACTCTTGGCCTCAATCTGCCCACAGCTTTTCTGACTTTACCTAAAAGAGCGTAGCCACTTTTTACTCCACCTCAAAATTCCTATGCTCTGTCTCAAAAGTCAAGTTCCCCCCAGTATCTTTCCATCCTCTGGAAGACTTCATCATTTAGCTTCCTCTTGAATTGTCAAATCTCTCTTCTTGGAAAGGATTCTTATCCTTAGCTCCTAAAGCAGGCTCCGACCTTTCTACGCTAATCACATTTATTCCCTCAATGCATCGATCTCTTTCCTTCTCACTCAATGTATTGAAAAGGAAATCTGATTTCACTTCTTGCTCTTCTCTCAATTACTTATTCCATGTAGAATAAAAGCCCTATATCCCCATGGTTTCATGGTTTCTTCCTTTTGGCCCCACAGGTCAATTTTCAAATGTCTTTTACTTTCAAGTCTTCTGAAAAAATAAACTGTTTTAAGAGGACCAAAAATGGGAAAGAAAAGCATTGACACATTAAGTGAAGAAAAGGCATCCATGCAAAACAAATAGCTTGCTGCAGGCTACAGCAAAAGGTACAATCGTTTACTAGACTGAATTACAGATTCAAGCTGTATCATTAACCTTACCAGTCCAATCTTTAGAAAAGCCAGGCACTGAATTTTAAAAATTACCCTATTTACAGTAGAAACAAAACCACTAATTCCTGAGTCATAAATTTTGTTGTTGTATAATTGTTCTAGTTATTTACCTTGCTAATTCTTAATATTCTTAAACTTTCTTTTAAGAAAGTTACATCTCTGATTTTACTTGCAAATATAAAGATGATGATTTTAAAAACAACCTCTTAGGATACCTTTTAAATTCCAAAAGTATTTTTCCCAGAAAGAGATTTGGCATAACTAATAAGAGCATAAAGAACTAAGATTCAAAATTCATTTTTATAAATCTATCCTTAAATCTTGGATGAGATCCAATACCTTATATTAAAATTTTAGAAGGTTGACTTGAGGGACATGGGAAATTTACTTTATGTTGACAGCATCCAGAACACCTGGCCTATATATCACCATTAATTAAGAAAAGATAAATGGGAAGGAAAAAACATATGTGAATAGCTCTAGATTCATTATTTTCAATGTAACAATTATATCATGCAAGGCTTTGCCAAAAAATACCCTAAATTTTTAATAAAGAAAAAGAAAAGAAACCTTTGGTGCCAATGTATTGTACATTTATTTCTATAGACTTGAATGCTACAGGATTTTCAAAGAGGACCAGGGCACCCAGTTTGTATTCTGACAGCAATGCAGTAGAATTTAAAGTGTTATGACTAAAATGTGTCCTAAGCTGGTTAATCTAGTCATGCAACATTTCAATAAAGAAGAACCAAGATAGTGAGCATAAAGGTGCACTTATTTCTATGAATACTGCAGGGGAAATAGTGACAGGAGGGAGTCAAGCTGCAGTGGACACATAGAAATATGCCATCTCCCTTTCTATCTTTCTCTACCAAACCTTATACACGCCTAGCCTTATCACACAGAGACAATTAAAAACTACACACTCTGGATACATTTGTGTCCTAGCTCCCAGGCTGGGAGCCTTGCATTTAATAAATTTCCCACTAGTGTGCTACACTGGATAGGAAAGCAGGGACTTTACTGCTGCGATCCCATCACCACGGGTCTTTGGAGATTTCAGTTCCCCAGTGACGGGCACCACCTAGCCATTGTGAAAGCCAGAAGTGTGGATGCTACCAAGCAGTGGATTTAAAGTATCCCATTTCTCAAGGAAAACACCCTGGCGGAGTGATGTTGGCCAAGGGGACCCCAGATATTTCTCAGTATGATCTTTTTTCTTCATTTTTACCTCACCTCTTCCATCTCTCTTCTTTCTAAGCCCCCCATCTATCTTTCTGTGCACACCTCCAGAGTTCATTGTAAAATAAATCAACACAAAGATTACACATTCTTCAGGCATAGGTTTTCCGCACTTAAATGCACACGGAGAAGGTCTAGTTGGCATTCAAAGTTGTGGGGAAGGGGAGAGAAGAGGTGACCATTACAGACCCTTCCCTTTAGAAGAGGTTAGACAAGGGATAAACAATACAATAGAAATTGCAGAGTCAGAGAGTCCAAGATCCACACAGAAAAAGGGCTGGGGACAAGTACAGGACAGAGGCTCCCTTCAAAACCTGGGACATCAGCAAGTCCAGAAGGTGTAACCATTACCCTACTTCCTTGCCCTGTGCCCCAAAGCGACATACCCACTTCCACATCCCTATCTCAGGAGGCCAGAGAAAGAGGAAGCGAGAATCCCTACCCGGGGCCATCCACAAGCAGGAGCGGAACAGAGTCTGCACTCAGAGTTGCACGGTCAAAATAACACACTGTCCCACAGTGTTCGCTGGTGACATTAACTCAGGCACCGGCAGATGTCTGGATGTGAGGCATAGTTCGGGGAGCGTGGATGCAATCACCCGCGTACGCACACTTGCAGGAGATTTTACAAACCCGCCCCTATCCCACCGCTTCCGTCCACACTCCGCACACCCAGTGCGTCCTGCCCTCCTCAGGGTTTCCATCGTCACAGTCTTTCTCTCGGAGAGCCAGCTGCCAGCAGAGGGATTCTAGCAGGGATTCCTGGAAATTTCATCCCCCAACACCTCGGGTCCGGGTCCACTACCGCCATCCCCTTTGCTGTACCTTTTACACACACACACACGCGCGCGCACACACGCACACGCACTCCTGCCATGACTGTCACTAGGCCCGCCGGCTGCCCTCAGTGCCCGGCATCGCCGCGCGCACCGGACACCGGGCATCGCTGCCACAACCCTTCCCCCGCCTCGCCGGCTGCAGGCATTGCCCCCCGCACGCCGCCCGCTGGGCTGCTCCTCCGCACCATTGTTCCACGCAGCGCTTCTCGCGCCCCGGAGCGCCCTTGGGCGAGGACCAGGGCTCCGTCCCGGGCGGCACCCGCGCCGGGCACCCTCGCTCTCCCACCGCTCCCTGGCCATGGTACCTTGCCTGACAGCTGGGTCCGCGGGCCCGCGGGAGCAGGCGGCGCTAATGACAGCGACGGTGCCAAACCTGAGAATAAAGCTCCGCTCCGGCCGCTCCTACCTCCAGCGCCACCATCTTCTCCGGCCGCTGCCGCCGCCGCCGCC